GCACTTGTTTCTAATAGCTTCTTGTTACTACTAGTAAGGCACTTGTTCCTAGTAGCGATGCACTTGCTTCTAATAGCTTTGATCAAAGAGAAAGGAAAAGTAAAAACATGCAGAGCCAGCCTTTCGTTGGCTCAACCAGTTCTGGTCATTGGGGTCCCCGCATCATCTCCGTGATGGGCACCGGAGTTGGGGCCATCATGGCCTTGGCAATGATCACCGGCCACACCGGCTGTGTTCGAATCAAACCAGCTGATGTAGCATAGGGTACCACACACATTGACTTGGCATTTCCGCCTGGTCATAACAAGGGGAAATCCACCAAAGAGGTGCTTCTAGGCATGGCTGTGATTGCAAATTGTTTGTTTACCCTGAGACTGCCAAAATGATTGAGGCAAAAGGAAATATAGAAACAATGCCGGAAATTCCTACGATGGAATGGCATGTATTGGCATGTTGCGTGGCTTCTGGAAGGATGATTCTGACCACCAGAACTGAAATCAACTGAAGGGCTGGGTGGTTGGACTCCATGTGTTTGAATTCTTCTTCGAGCGGTCCGGCCCTAAGGATTTCGAAGTCCCACAAGTCACTCCTTGTCGCTTAAAGGTCCCACACGTCGGAGGCCCCCGCGTCACGCTTGGAGATCGACGAGCGGTCAATGATGTCATAGAAGACCTGCTCGCACTGCTGTGCTTGCAGGAGCTCTTCATACCACACCCCAGTGCCCTGCTGTTGGTGTTATCCTAGGGTTGCACCAATTCACATCGGTTGTGCCTTCATCTTGTGGAAAATTGGCGCCTTGGCTGAGCATCAGAACACTACCGTATGCAGTACGCAGCAATCAGGTTAGCAATGTCTGACATACAAGCCGAGGCCCGTGCAGCAAAATACTTCGACAGTTTGAAGACTTCAGTGACGATGGGCTCACACTGCTCCCAGGTCCTACATGTGACCAAGCATGGAGTTCGGAACTGCCACAGTTGGCACACTTCCCACATAACACGGTGCCACCAAATCAAGCCCGGTCTTTATCCCATCGGTGATCCCCTGCTTGACGAAAATGCTGTGGATCTGGTCTTTGTGTTCTTGGCCCTTGGTGTCAGATTCGGCTCAGCACGGTCACCAGCTCTCATCACATTCCCAGGCCCGGGCCAGATCGGAAATCTGATCTCGCTTAGGCCACCAGAATCGAGGAATGGTCTGGCAGGGGCTTTTGGGCGGCTCAAAGCTAGTTAGACCTAGATCATTGGGTGCGACAGTGGGGAGGAAATGGCAATAGAGAGACTACAGGAGATCCAACGTCCGAGCTTCAAAGGTCCCAGACCCAGCCTGAGACTTGGTGGCCAGCATGGAATTCCCCACGCCGGTGGGCCCGGACCCGGGGCTCACCGGCCGCTCTGGCCTCGGCCAAGCAGGCGCCGAAGAAGAGGCGTGACAAAAGAGGGGAACCCCCTGGATGGCTCCAAAGCATGCTCCATCCCGTGACGCAGTATCTTGGGTGTCTTGAGTATGTCACACGTGAATAGGGTGGTGTATGAACCATCTGTGTTCTTCCTCGATGATGTGAGTCGTAGTAGACGACCCCCAACGTCTCCAGCCTGCCCATTGGGCAATGTGCTCCACTTCTTACAATTGCTTCGACGGTGAAAAGGAGCTTGCAAAACTGGGGCACCCACGGAGGAGACGGCATGTCCAGCTCCTGCTCTCAGGGGCAGATCGACTGATTGAAGGGCATCTGCAAAACAGATCATATTGTGGGCACCCACTGCTTAAGGCCCCACCCGAACACCAAGCATTTGTTGATGTCTGTTCGTTGGAACTTCCGTTCGCTGGAACGTCCATCTGCTAAACACCAAGATGAATCACGCGAAGGCCGCTAAAAGTCATATTGCGAGAAAAGGTTCAGCAATGACTTGGATTGTGATTGATTCAGAGATTGCAATGACTTGGATCATGCAACCCGATCTCGAATATTGATCACTGACATTTCATTGTAATTCAAACCAATGGGTGGATTGTGAGGGAAGTGTCGCAGCGCACGCGCAGGAAATCACTGGGAACCCAAGTCAAACCCTAATCCAGCGCCTTGGGCGGTGGAGGTGTTGGTGCCTTGGTCTTTTGATGACACCACACACTGGCGCAAGGTCTTCAGCAGAAGGGCCTGGTAGCACATCCCCACCCTGATTTTGAAGGAGCTCCCCCCCTGGTTCTGACTTGAAAACGACGGGGATGGCCATAGCCCCTCCAACGATCTGACAATCAAAGGGGCACGGCCATGCTGGGTCTTATGTCCACACCGAAAAGGCCCCCACCGGGCCAGTCGGAGGGCTATGCCTCGGCGAAAGCACAGCAACTGGAGTTGTTCAAGTTAAAGCTGTTGGATCTGAAGTCGGCTCTGGCGGGAACTGAAGAGTCTGCGGTGAGTGGGGGGAGCTAGAGGGCCTGGCACTATCAAGATATGCCTTTCGAAGGTGCCAGTTCCCTTAGGTGTGGGCTCCTTGCACCAACTGTTATGCAGTGATGTCATGCTCAAGTCAATGGAGAACCTGGACGCTGGGTGTCTGGCGGAGATCCAGGCAAAGCGATTTGCTCCACATCTGGCAGGTGGGGCTCAGCGATGAAAATAGTATATACAGTAGTTCCTTTTACCACTGATTCTTGGGCGTGTGGGAGGATGAACTAGGCGGCGCTGTGTACGAGCGCAAAACCCCTAGCGTTCCTTTGCTGCCATAAAGTCACCTTTGAGGCGGCTGTGGCTCTTGATGAAGGACACCCTTTGATCTTTCGGGCTGTTTGCCCATTCAACTGTTACGCATTCTATCACCAGTCACCAGTACTCTTGTGTTATGTTGTTCTGATCTAGTGAGTAACATACCTTGCACACATCCGCATCCAGTCACGCCCTCCCACACCCAATGCACAACCTCCCCACCTTTGAATGACCTGAAGCCCCTTGGAACAAAGCTCTGGCCTTCTCGGCTGAAGCCCACGTTCGTTCGGTGAGGCGACCCAGGCGGCGAAGGCCTGGCCAAAGATCGCGACCCAAACATCGGTGTGTGCACAAGATTCAAACACTTGGTCTCTCTCTCTCTCTGTCTCTTCAGAAATATGGTAATACGATCATTTCGCCACACGTGGCACAGAAACGCGCCTTCCTCCACTGGGAGTTCCACGTAAGTGCAACTGGTGCGGGCTCGCGCTCACAGCCGGCACCTGGGAAGTGTTCGGGCAGCAGGCTGCCCGCACCAAGTGCCCAAAACTGCGAAGAAAGAAAGAACCAAAAATCAGCGCCGCTCCCGGTTTTCAATGTTTTTTTCACGTCCTCGAGTGAGTGATCTTGTCTTTTGCAGATCGGAAGGGTCCCCAAAATACAGGAAGGCATGCCTACCTGTTGACTCGCTATCGCACCCAGGAAGATGCAATCCGGTCTGCGTCCATGGTGTTGCTCATCACTGCACAGTAATCTTCTCGTCTTGGCAGATTATCGACCTTCCCCTCTTTGCCTTGGCGCGACAGACCCGGTTTTCCAGCGACGGACGGATGGACTGGAGAAAGGTTTCAAGTTCCTTCAGCATTTTGGCCCAATTTGTATCACAGAAGGCTTGTTCACAAGAACTCCATGCATGTCACGTCTCTAAACCAACACGTCTATACAAACAGAAACCGCAAAAGAATCCGCAAACCGAGAAACAGAAGGTGTGCAGGTGCAGCCACCGCACACTCACGTGTTTGGGTGCATGGATGCACTGCCACACGGAGCCCTGGTTGCCGTTTCTCTTTTGATGCTCGAAGCCACTGATGAGCATTTCGCGCAGCACAGTCCGACCCCCAGCATAGTGGTAGAGCGAGCTGATATCACCTGATAGGTGATAGATGGTGACATGGGGGGAGCACCAACCAAATAGGTCAATACAAAGTATGATGGTAAGGATAGCTCGAATGTTTCTTATCTACCTTTTCAGGATACCTGGAGTTTCTGGCAAAGCCTTTGGATTCTGTGACACCTTCACCTAAGTACTGACCAGTGTCTTCATGGGGCCGGTGCAGATGGACAAATGCATGCCCCAAAGAACACATGCGACGCGATGGTAGGATACTGTGCGGGGGGGTTCCAGCAGGTCGAAGATCGTCCACCAAAGAAATCTGGTCTCAATCCTCCACCGTCTATCTCGCTCGACAAGTGACGCATATATGAGCGTGGCACCGTCAAGCTGGGCGGAGATCTGCAGCCATTCGCATGGACGTGGTTGTTGAAGGACACCACCCCTCCCATAGCATGTCCCCCACAACCGGGATTGCTGGCACGATGGCAGAAGGCCATCTCTCCACAATGCTGGCAATAGTTCTTCGGGTATGCGACCATAGGCACTTGTGCAGAGTCATCGAAGAGGCCATTCTTTGACTCTGACTCTGAGTCCGAGTCAGCCACGTCCATCTGCGCTTCCATCTCCAGCTCTTCTTTCTGAGCCTTTCGCTGCAAGAGCGAGAGCTGGCACTTGTCCTCGCTGTCATCGCAGTCGAAGACAGAAAGCTCCTCCCCCGCCAGCCTCAAATGGCAGTCTCTCACAAGCACAAAGAGAGCACAGAAGATGGCAAGACAACAAATGCGTTGAAGATCACGCATTGTGGTCCAGCCACTTGACTGGCTGAGGCCCCCCGCAAAGAGCTCGGCAGGCACCAGGCCAAAAGAAGGAAAAGGCACACTTTCATGGTTTTCCGAAAGGTGCCAGAGAATCACCGCTGCTTGAGCAATGACTGAAGCAACGGCGAGTTTGGGTTGGGGGGTTCCTTCAACAGTCTGGCATGACAAAGGAAATATCGTCAAGTTGTGTCACTCGCCTTCAAATCAAAACAATAAAGCTGCGACCCTGCCTCCTTGCAACCTTGCACTAGCCCTTCTTAGCCTATTGACCATTGGAATGCTACCGCCTTGCCTCTGCGGTAGGATCTTCAGCATTGTGGATGATCTGCCGAATCAGTTGCACCGATTCTGGTTGCATCAGCCTGAAGCAACGTGATTGCAAAAAAGCTGCATTTCACTTAGCTAGCAGCTAGCCTTTGAGCTAGTCTTTCATAGTCTTTCTATCAATCGCCCCCCTTCAGGTTTCCGCCCCACTTGCAGTCATCCACTCTGGCACGTAACGTGGCTCTGCTCTCCGTTTTCAGCCCGCAGCCATTCCCAGAAGAACTCGTCTAACTTCGCATTCACCAGGCCACATCCCTGGCAGATCTTCTCTCCCGCCCGAGTCGAAAAAATAATGAAAAAAACATTTCACCGGGACCGAGAACACTTTGTTCTACACTTCTTGCAGCTGTTGGACGTGCCAGTAGCTTAGGGTGCACATGATTCACCGAGAACGGAAAAAACCGCCAAAGGTATGAACTGAGCCTGCGGAAGTTGACCGTGAACCTCGGTGAACCGAGGGTGAACCTCGTGTGGCTTTTTCCTTCAAATACAGTCACTGAAGGGTTTAATCGCTCAGTCTCAAGTTGTTACTACAGTAGTAGCGTCCTTGCTCCTAGTAGCGATGCCCTTTGCTACTAGTTACTAGTAGCTTCTTGTTCCTAGTAGTAAGGCCAGGAGCTACTATCACATACAGTACATCTCTAGGGCCCCTCACCATTGTGCCGAAAGCACACCTTGTGAAAGTGTCTACCTCAAAGCGCACCGGTGACAGCGCTCCCTCCCTCAGAATCTGCGCAGCTGGGTAGCGAGCACATTCAAAATGCACCTTGGGGCGTCAAGCTTCATGACTCTAACATCCAAAGATCGTGCTAACATCCAACGACTCAAATCTTCCAGCAGTTTAGATCAAAATGGAAGTCCTGCCTCGCCCTCTCCACTGACCGATCTGCGCGGTTCAGAGGGCCTCTTTGCCACGCCAAGCATGAGACCGTGCCAAATGAATGATAGTGCACCAGTTTAGCTCTAAAGGAAACAAAACGCTACGAACGGAGCAAAGGGCATCGCTACTAGGAGCAAGACGCTACTAGTAGCTCCTGGCCTTACTACTAGGAACAAGAAGCTACGAACGGAGCTATCCCTGTCAATAGTTCGTGCCCGCCTCTGCAGGGTCACTGTGACTGCCACATCCCCCCCCGCTTGGAGGTGCCCTTGAGCCACAAATGGCCAAGAACCTTCAGTGAACACTCATGTCCTGTGCTTCGTTCGCACTGAAGGATAGATATCGAAGCAAATGGACCCAACGAAAAACAGAGGGTCCACTTGCAAAATGTGTCTAACTCGGTTACCTCTCTCTTCGTCTTGTTGAGGGCACTCAGTGAAATCGCTGCAATAGATCTTCGCCTTCGAAGTACAATCTTGCAAAGCGGCTACATCACGCCCTTTTGCCCTGGCTCTTCTCCAAAAGGAGAGTCACATACTCCCCCTGATAACAAACCAACATAGAACATTTGGAGCACCCAGTGCGCGACCCAATATGGGCCCTGGGAACTTCTCTTCCTTGAGCATCTACTCAGAAATTCCTGGCCGGCCGCCATGGGAGCTCTGCGCCAGTTGGTCTTTTTCGGACCTGAGCGGTTTGAGCGATCAGCTACCGTGCCATGCCTCGGTAGCAGAATTGGAACACGCCATGAACGGTTACGCGGGGGGTGCGCAGCACGTGCAGAAGCGCTCGGCTTTTACCACTGATGGCGTGCCGGGCGTGCTGGCCGTTTACTCCTTCCCACTCACCCTCAGAATTCCTCGCCTCAGATGTTGCTGAAGGCCATTGATGTCAGCCCAGGCAGGCCCCTAGAGTTGTAAATAAATTCTTGTATATATATATATATATACGTGTGTGTACACTCACACATATGTATGTATATATATATATGTGTATATGAGCCAGCTGCGATCTTTGGGTTGATTCTTGTCCAACTTGTCTGGGTCGGGGTGGGATCACTGGCGCCCACAAGTTAGGCAACAAACAATGAAGGCTTGTCATCTGCAATGATCCGGAGGGAAGCCGGTGTTTAGTTGACTTTTTCTCCCAAAGTGACCACTATTTTCGGTCTATAAGTCTGTGACTATGGATCTTCATCTGAATGGCTCCAAGTCGGCCCGGAGGTGCTCAAAGTCCTCCAACCCAATGGAAATGCGCAAAAGCAAAGGTGAGATGGTACTGTCCCACTTCCGCCGCCACTCGATCAAACTCTCCTGGGCTCGCAACACCCACACTCTCCATCGATCTCCTTTCATCTAACCCCGTCAACTCCTATCCACTCCACTTCTCCACTCCGATCCAAATTCAAAAAAAACATTAAAAAAATCCATCTTCCCTTCGAGGCCCACTAGCGATAGCCTCCACCCTAATAATAGCGATGGCCTCCACCCTAATAATAGTGATGGCCTCCACCCTAATAATAGCGATGGCCTCCACCCTAATAATAG